TTCATTTATGTAGTGTCCTTCTTGTCTCTTGTAGCAGTGTTTTATAGTTTTCTCTATATAGGTCTTTTTATCTCTGGTGAGGTTTATTCCTAGATATTTTATCTTTTTCGTAGCTAAAGTAAATGGTATTGTTTCCCTTATTTCTTTATCAGAGAACTCCTTGCTGGTGTAGAGAAATCCAGCTGATTTTTATATGTTGATCTTGTATCCTGCCACTTTGCTGAACCTTTCTATTAGTTCCAGTAGTTTTTTTATCGAGTCCCTTGGATTTTCTATGTACAGGATCATATCATCCACAAATAGAGATAGTTTTAATACCTCTTTGCAAATTTGTATGCCTTTGATTTCTCTTTCTTGCCTTATTGCCCTGGCCAGGACTTTCAATACAATGTTAAATAGAAGTGGTGATAGAGGGCATCCCTGTCTGGTTCCCATTCATAAGGAGAATACCTTAAGTCTTTCTCCATTACTAATGATGTTGGCTGTTGGCTTTGCATATATACCCTTTATTATGTTGAGGAATTTCCCTTCTGTCCCTATTTTGCTGAGAGTGCTAAACAGGAATGGATGTTGGATTTTATCAAATGCCTTTTCTGTATCAATTGATATAATCATATCAATTCTATCATATGTCATATATCATATGATTCTTTTCCTTTGTTTTGTTTATGTGGTAGATTACATTGATTGATTTTCTGATGTTGAATCACCCTTGCAAACCTGGTATGAATCCCACTTGGTCCAGTTATATTAATTTTTTTATAGGTGTTGAATTCTGTTGGCCAGGATTTTGTTAAAGATTTTGGTGCCTATGTTCATGAGGGTTATTGGTCTGTAGTTTTCCTTTCTAGTGGTGTCTTTCCCTGGTTTTGGTATTAGTGTTATGCTTGCTTCATAAAATGAGTTTGGAACTATTCCATCCTTTTCTATGTTCTGGAATAGCTTGAGTAGCATAGGTGTCTACTCTTCTATGAATATTTGATACAATTCTCCATTGAAGTCATCAGGGCCAGGGCTTTTCTTTGTGGGAAGTTTTTTATGACCTGTTCAATTTCTTCTTGTTATGGGACTGTTCAAGCTTTCTATCTCTGAGTGGGATAGCTTAGGTAGGTCTTGTGATTCTAGAAACTTGTCCATCTCTTCTAGGTTCTCAAATCTATTGGAGTATAGTTTTTCATAATATTCTGTCGGTATCTTTTTTATTTCAGATGGTTCTGTTGTGATGGCACCCTTATCGTTTACAATTCTTGTGATTTGGGTCTTCTCTCTTTTCTTTTGTTAGGTCTGCCAATGGTTTATCGATTTTATTAATCTTTTTGAAGAACCAGTTCTTTGTTTTGTTGACTTTCTTTGAGTTTTTTGTTTTCTGTTTCATTTATTTCTGCTCTGATCTTTATTTTTTCCTTGCTTCTAGATACTGTAGGATTCTTTTGTTGTTCTACTTCTAGTTGTTAGACGATGAGCTAGAGTGTTGATTTTGTTTCTTTCCTTTTTTTTGATGTATACATTTATTGCTATAAACTGTCCTCTGAGTACTGCTTTTGCTATGTCCCATAGGTTTTGGTATGATATATCTTCATTCTCATTTGTTTCTCAGAATTTTTTTTTTATTTCATATTTTATCTCTTCTGTTTCCCAGCAGTTCTTAATCAGTGAGTTGTTCAGTTTCCATATGTTTGATGCTTTTTCCTTGCTCTTCCTACTATTAATTTCTAGTTTTATAGCATTGTGGTCTGAGAAGATGCTTTGCAGCATTTCAATGCTTTTGAATTTATTGAGGCTTGTTTTATGTCCTAGCAAATGGTATTCTGGAGAAGGATCCATGTGTACTGGAAAAGAATATGAATTGTTTTTGTTGGGTGCAATGCTCTGTATATGTCTATGAGGTCTAGTTAGTTGATTATACTGTTGAGTTCTTCTATAGCCTTGTTGAGTTTTTTTCCAGTTGACCTGTTCCTCCTTGAAAGTGGTGTGTTAAAGTCTCCTACTACTATTGTAGAGTTGTCTGTTATCCCTTTTAATTCAGTTAATATTTGCTTCACATATTTTGGAACACTTTCATTGGGTGCATAAATATTTATTATTGTAATGTCTTCTTTGTCAATTGACCCTTTCAGCATCATATAGTGTCCCTCCTTATCTCTTACGATGTTTTTCACCTTAATGTCTATTTTATCTGAAGTCATTAAGTTTTTCCCCTTTTTTGGTTTCCATTGGCTTGGTATATTCTTTTCCACCCCTTAACTCTTAATTTGTTTTTATCTTTGTGTCTAGGATGGGTCTCTTGTAGGTAGCATATTGATGGGTCTTCTTTTCTTATCCAGTCTGCCACTCTCACTTGATAGGTGCATTTAGTCCATTCACATTGAGTGTAATTAATGATAGGTATGAGTTGATTGCTGTCATTCTTAGGTTCTCTTAATTTCTCTTAAATCTTTGTTCTGTTTTCTTCATACAGGCTGGTGTCCAGGAATTTGTCTTCTAGTTGGGATATGTGTTCTTCAGCCAGTTCTAAACTACTCTTTTGTGCTTCTACTGTGTTGTGTAATTCTGTCATTTTGATACTCATCTTTTGCATTTAGGTATTCCTCTTCTGCATTTCTAATTGCTGTTTTTGTATGAGTTCTGATTGTGCATTAATCTTATTATTCTGTTCATGAATGATTTTCCTGAGTTCCTCCAAGGAACTGACTGTGTTCTCCTTGTTTCTCTTTGTGGTTTCCTTAGGCTGTTGTATAGCTCTATAAATATATCTTCTAAATTCTTTCTCAGATAATTCTATTGCCTCATTTTCCTCCATGTATAATGAGACCTTTGGTTGTGGTTTTGCTTCTAATGCCTTGTCCTGTTTTTTTTTTTGTTGTTGTTTTGTTTGTTTGTTTTGTTTTTGATTTGAGGTTCCCTGTTGTTTACTAGACATTTTGAGGTTGTCCTTAACTGTTGGTTATATGTTGATTTGTTTTGTCTTGGTTTTATGGTTAATATTTTGAAAAGGTGAGGCTGCTGTATTTTATTTTATTTTATTTTATTATTAATTCAGGTATGCTGGGTCGCTCTGCAGTTTTCTTTGTGGTGTTGGAAACACTCACTGTGTGAAATGTGGATATGAGTTTCTGTTTGTCGTAAAGAGGGTATAGAGTTCCAACGGAGAGGTTTTATGTAGGCTGAATGCTGTTTCTTCTATTGGATGAATGAAGTTATTGGCGGAGGAGGTGGGAGCAGAAAAATGAGAGCTTGCTGTTGCTATGGGTAGTTTCTAGGGCTTTGGGCGGGCTGCTGCTGATGACCCCCTACTGTTATTTAAAAGCCTGTGGCTCAATATCAGGAAAGACTCAGATTGCCAGGGCGTCGCCACTCTCCGCCAGGACCAGACACACACAAAAACCCCACTCCTGATGTCCCCAGTGCCCAAAAGCTGACCCAAGGCAACATTCGGGCTCCAAGATTGGCTGCTTGTGCTTCTTGCTCCTGCCCTGCCTGCCTGCGGGGCTGGCCCAACCCGCCCTGACTGTGATTGGCCTGCGAATCTATCTCTAAGTCCGCCCACTGCACTGCTATGGGCCACTGGTGCCCCTCTCTCTGGCTCCGCCTGCCCACAGCACTGGCCCAACCCACCCTGACTGTGATTGCCTGAGGAGATTTTCTTTAGATCTGCAGACCTGTGGTGCCATAGACGTGCTCGGTTTCAGCTGCGATGGAGTCCCCAGAGTGCCTGTTAGTCATCTGTGGTTCCAATATTAATGAAAAAGTTTAGCGTAGATCTCTCAGTGCCACCAAGTAGACCCAAGCCTATTCAGTGGTCCGCTGAGGGGGAAGCAAGTCCACCCTCCTGGAGCACCAATGGGCTCTCTGTTTGGGTTTCGGTGGTTCTGGATGTGTCCGCTTGCACCTAGCTGGCCCAAGTTACCAATAAAATCAGGTGCTGAAGGTAGATCCCTGTGGAGATCACTCGTCTGCTGGCATGGAGTGCCTTCTGCCTTGGCCCAGAGAGGTCTCCGATGGCCATTCTCACCTGCCGGTCACTGCCCCAGGGATGTCCCCAGTGGCCCTTCTTGGCTGCCTGTCTGCGTCACACAGGTAGATCTTCTTTAGTTCCTTCCCCTGTACCTTTCCTCCAAATGTACTCCTCTGAACTTGGTGCACTCTGACTCAGTGAGCTGTTCAGAGCACCAAAATCCCTAATTCAAACTGCTGTATCTAGTTTTTCAAGCTTGAAGATGCTAAGGGAAATAGCGTGGTGATTACTGATGAGACTCAGTCTTGAATCCCTCCCAAGCCTATGTTCTTAACTTGTGCTCTGCGTCCTTTTAAGTGTCACTTGTGTGACTTTCTGTATGTTTTCATTGCCTGCGAAACGTGTCATGATATTCATGCATTTTGTAACACTGACTAATCCACTTGTTTTTCCTTTTTATCTATCTCATTGGCAGTACTTTCCTATTACTCACTTGACTGGCTAAATCATCAGACATTTTACTGGATGTAAGGTTATTAAGCTTTTGTATGAGAGTTACATGGATTTCTAAAGTCTGTCACATGTTAGAGATGAAAAATATAAATTTTATGTTTCCTTCCATTTTCCTTATTACCAAGTTTAGTGTCAGCCATTGTGAGTGAAGAAGATCTTTAGTGTTAAATATTCTTGTTTTTAGCAAATTTTAAAACAACTTTTAAGTTTCTATGCTGGCTAAAACATAACTATTAATTTTATTTTTGGGGAAACCCCCACAAAATTGAAATATTAAACCCATTTTATACATTGAATAAGGCTCATGGTTGTCAGAATTTATTGAATAAGTAATTCTTTAACATAAGTAAAACAAGAGTCAAATCTCAAGGATCAAAATATGTTAGAAATGCCTTTTTTCTGTTGATGGCCTATCTCAGTCTCTCAGGAAGTTTTTTCTGAGCAAAATCTTAGAATTTATTACACTTACATGCTTTTGTTGTTATTAATGTGAAATATACCTGACAATATTTTTTATTCTTTTTCTTTACAGATGGCAGAAATGATGCTCAGGAAGATAGCTTGAGAGACTTAATAAAAGAGCTGCCTGATGCCCACTACTGCCTCCTGAAGCACCTATGCCAGTTCTTGACAAAAGTGGCCAAGCATCATGTGCAAAATCGCATGAATATTCACAATCTCGCCACTGTATTTGGGCCAAATTGCTTTCAGTAAGTTAGTGGAGTTTTGCTTTTAATATTGTCCTGTGCTCCTTTTCCATTACTACTCCCTGAAATTATTGTATTGTAGAAGCATATTTCAGTCTCAACATTGAACCAGTAAGCATAAATTAATGGTAGAGAAATTTCATCCTGTTCTTCAAACCAAACCAAACTCCCTGCCATCAAGTTGGTTCCAGCTCATAGAGATCCCCATTGAGTTTCTGAGGCGGTAAATCTTTACGGAAATAGATTGTCCAATCTTCCTTTGTGGAGCTGTGGATTTGAACTGCCAACCTTCTGGCTAGCAGTCAAATGCCTTAGACACTGTGCCGCCAGAGCTCCTTGCCCTCAATCTTTACAGAAGTAGATTGCCCCATCTTCCTTCCACATGGCTAGTGGGTTTGAACCGCTGTCCTTCTGGTTAGCTGTCAAATGCCTTAGGCACTGTGCCACCAGAGCACATCTTGCTCTTAGGCATCTTAATTTTGTTTTTCATCCTAATTTTTATGACAATAGATATGCCTTTGTATGAAATAATAATTTGCAATAATTCAAACGATTTTATTTGAAATTCTGGAATAAGTTTAATTTTCACTAAAAAGTGCATTTTAAAAAAAATCTGTAATCTGAAGCATTGATTGACAGGAAAGGTAGGAGTAGATATACAGTATATATGTGGGTAATCCCTGACTTACTCAATTATAACGACTTGTTCAGTTACTTATGATATATTCAGTAACAATGAATCACACTTATCACCATCTGTTTTTTTGGTATACTGCGTAGTGCCTAAGGCATTTGACTGCTAATCAGAAGGTTGGTGGTTCAAACCCACCAGCCACTCCTCAGAAGGAAGGTTGGGCAATCTACTTCCGTAAAGATTTACTGCCTCAGAAACCCAAGGAAGGGTCGTATCAGTCAGATCATACTCAACGGCAGTATGTTGCATTTGTTGTTATCATTAGTAATATGTACTACATACAGTGTTACAACCCATCATTTGCTGATGATATCATTATCAAATATTCACTGGCAGTTGTTTATATGTAATGTTTCCAATCCCTACAGTTTTCAAAGATACTGACAATAAAAAGACAATAATAACAAAAACTTAAAAAAAAAAAAAGTTATTTAACTTATGTCAAAATTGACTTAAGATAAAGAAAGTCATTGGAACAGAGCCCTCTCTCAAGTTGGGCACTATCTGTAGTGAAAAACAGTGATAAAGTTTAAATCATTGCTAATAGATGGAAAATTGTAACTGGAATATGTCAGTAATAGAAACATATAACCTCAACTTCATTTTCAAACTTTTGTTATCAATAAACTAGACTAGAAATAGCTAGTCTAATTTGATAGGTGTTATATCACTAGCCACCAGAGCTCCCATAAAGTTTTATATTTAAATTATATTCCCTATTCCCCCACACACACCCAAAGCTCTTTAATTGTTGATATATGAAACATGATGTAGCAATCCAGGAATTTTACTTTTAACTCTCCTATTAGGCTCTTCTGCTGTTAAACGTGTTTCTAATTGTTGTGGTGGTGGTGTTATGTGCCGTCGACCCAACTCATAGTGACCCCTCCTTGAGTTTCCAAGGCAGTATCACTACGGAAGTAGATTGCCCAACCTTCCTTCCGAGGAGTGGCTGGTGGTTTGAACCACCAGCCTTCTGGTTAGCAGTCATGAGCCTTAGGCACTATGCTACCAGAGCTCTTCTAGGTCAAGAAAAATGTATACCTTTTCTATAATTACTTTTTACTTTATCCAAAATTTACTTTCATACATGATAAGATATATTGATCCAATTCAATTTTTTTTCACATGCATAACTAATTATTGCCAAGTGTTCTGGTTACCTAGTGCTATTCTGACAGGAATATACCACAAATGGGATCGCCTTAACAAACAGGAGTTTATTCTCTCACAGTTTGGCAGCTTTAAGTCCAAGTTCAAGTGCCAGGCTCTAGGGGCTGTGTGGAAGCCCCTCAACCTTGGGCTTCAGCTCTGCCTCTTGCTTCTGGCCCACTGGAGCTAGAGACATCTCTTCACTCAGGCAGCTACTGGCTGCTGAGGCTAACGAGCCCAAGGTCGACAAATAAAAAGGCACAATCTTGATGTTACCAAGCCACATGGTAGGCCATAAATTCAAGTCCATTATAAGTCCCAAGATTGGCAGAGCATGATAGGCTGCTGAACAATGACACGACCACTATGCAGGGTCCAATAGTGCCATAAGCTAGAGACCATTCCCCAAGGCTTCTGCTTATATACAGGAAGCAGACCACATTCCCTAAGGCAGCTACTCAGCTGCTCACAGTAGATTCCACCATGGAGTTGATTGTCAGTCTCATCATTGGGAATACTACATCCATCTGCCTAGCCATTCAACCAGGCCCAGCCAAGTTGACATACAAATTTAACTACCACACCAAGCTATTCACTCAATGGCATATCTACCTGCTAATTGGCAATGTCAATTTTATCACATATTAACTTCCAACATATACGTACGTGTCTTTTTCCAACTTTTGTAATGGCTCTTCCTTCTCTCCCTCTCCATTTTCTATTACTTTTTCTTTTTTAATGGAATTTTGGAATTTCCATGTTAATTTTCATTTTTAAAAGTTATTTACAACTTTTTTTACTTTTATTTTTATTAATTAATTTGAATTTATTTAGTTGTTTCTCAAGCTATTTCCCTGACTTCTTCTTATGAAAAATTTCAGTCATACAAACTATTTGAAATAATAGCACAATGCTATTTCATTTTATTACACTTCACATTACTGCATTTCTCAGATAATACATTTTTTACAAATTAAAAGTTTGTGGCAACCCTGCATCCATCAACTCTATTGGTACCATTTTTCTAACAGTGTGTGCTCACTTTGTGTCTCTGTGTCACCTTTGGGTAATGCTTACAATATTTCAAACTTTTTTGTAATGCTATTGCACACTTAATAGAGTATAGTGTAGACTAAAAACAGCTTACATGGACTGGGAACCGAAAAATTTCTGTGAGTTGCTTTATTGTGATCATTGCTTTATTGTGGTGCTCTGGAACTGAGCCTACAATATCTCCAAAGTATACCTGTAATCATTCACTTACAAACAATTTTAAAAGGCAGTATAATAATCATCTATTTTCTTATTAACTGGATAGCATACTTTATGTCTTTAGTATATGTACAAGTTTTTTAACCATTTGAAAATAAGTTGCAGACCTCATGATACTTTTTTGCTAAGTACTTAATCTTGCATCTCTTGAAAATAAGGACATTTTCATTCCTGTTCCTCAACTTTCAGCCAAATGATAGACAGGCCTATAAGGTGAGCAATAATACAGCAAGGTATGCAGTCATTAGAGCAGTCAACTATACGAGATTCAAAGGGCAGCATTTGCTCAGGGATAAAGCCAGGAACACAGGACGGAGTAGGAAAGAAGGATGAAGGAAAATGGTAAACACAAGGAAGAAGTGGGAAGAGTGCTGTTATATTATCCCAATTGCAATGAATGTTACAAAACAAAATGTTATAAATTGTTGAATGGAAAATCAATTTGCTCTGTAAACTTTCGCCAAAATCACAATATATACGTAAAGGATGTTTTACTGCATAACCATAGTATACTTATCACAGCTAAGAAAACTGGCAGTTCCACATTACCATCTGAACAGTCCATATTCACATGTTCCCAGTTTGTCACAATAATGTCTTTTAATGATGTTTTTCTCTGAACATGATCTGATGACTCACACATTGTGTTTGGTTGTTGTCTTTTGCTATCACATGTAGAACAGTCCCTCCTCCACGTGTGTGCAGTATGCACAGACACTATTATTTATCTATTTATTAAATATTTGTTTAACCACATTTTATAAGAGGTCAGGTATTATCTTGTGGAATTTCTCACATTGTGGATTTGATTGTTTCCTAGTGGTGCTACTTATGTTCTTCTATCCCCCGATTTGCTATAAACCTATAACTCAGATAAAGTCCTAGTAAGATTCAAGTTAAGTTTTTGTCAAAAACTCTTCATTAGTGATATTTTGTACTATATATTGTATCCTATTAGGAGTCCCACGCTTATTGATGCTTAGCTCGATTTCTTAGTTAAGGTCGTCACTTCCAAATGTCTCTGTTAGAGAGATATGGCTTTCCCTTTGCAATTAGCAAATGATCTGTTGGATGATATTTAGGCATCATGCAAATGTATGTTCACCCAAAACCTTTCATTAATGGTTTGATTATCTCTTGGTTTTCTTATCCTGAATCAGTTATTTCTTTTGGGGTTACAGGGTGTTGATTTTCAAATTCTGTTATTCTTTCTTCATGTTTTAGTTAGTATCTCAATATAAAGAAGTGTTTTACTTCATCAATTAGGAATGAATAATATTAAATTTGTCTGATCAAATTATTCCAAATTTGGCCAGTTGTGGAAGCTCCTTTAAGCTGGCTACTGTGTCCTTTTGACATGACCCCATTAGAAGGTTTCCTGTTTTCTGGTTAAAGAGGATGTCTCAGTATGGAATTGGCTGTTTCTCCAAGGAACCTTAGTTGCTTTTATAAAGCAGTGTTTAGAAGCCAAACTCTTGGTAATGAAGTTTATTGCTTCTAAGACATCATGTCTTCTAGAACCAAGTAACGAGTGAGTGAGTAAAGATATCACAGATTTATATTGACATTTCAATTCAATTTTACCATTTTAGGATTTTTTTTTCCTTAACTTCTTTCATTTTATATTTGCATCTCCTTTCTCTGAAAATTAAAATACTGCTTCCTTAAAAGTAAGTGTATTTATTTATTTGTTTTCCTCAACCATATAGATAAAACATACTTCATGTTTAAATAGAAATAAATTACCACAACATTAATTAAGTTACTGAGTAATATTTAAGACATCATTGTAGTTCTTATGTTCTTAGAATATATCTCAATAAGAATCACAAGGTATAAAATACAAATTTGATATATAGCTAAGTTCATCAGTTAGAGTATGTTTTCTG